AGAAGTTTGAGTCACGCTGTAGAGAAAAGGTCAGCGAATGTGTCACGGCTCACCCTCAGCTCGTCTCACAAGCAGCCACCAAGGACACGAGTGTCTGGAGAATGTTGTCTGACCCATGGGCCTGTTTGTTTCTGCCTGGTGTTTCTTCTCTTCTTGTCTGATGTTTTCATTTAAGGACAAGTGCATTTTTATCATATTTAGCTATTTCGTAGCCTTTTACGCAAGCAGCATAAATCTGCATGGTTGTCATGCCAAAACCCTCTTCTTTTCACGGGGCACATCGAAGAAAGCCTTGATTTATTTTGAGACTATGCCACGCTGACCTTAACTGTTTAGCCTTCTCTGGTTCTTACCACTGGCTGTGCATCATAACAGGAACTTATCACACAGACCACTTAACTTACAGCTCAGACTAAATACTGACGCTCGATTATATAACTTCTTTCTGCATTTCCTCTATGGAAGTGTAACTTTCTTTATCTGCTGCTCCCTTATCCTCTTTCTAGCGTCTTAGCTTCTCCTCCTCCTCATAACCTACTAATCTATGGGAGCAGCAGAAATCCTCCCACTTATTGTTGCAGACATGTCACTGTGCCTGCTGTGCTTACTGACCTGAATCAGAGGGGGGGTGGACAGACCTAACAAGATGATTTACCTCCCCCTCGCAAAGCTTCCAGCATGTAAAAATATTAACTAATTAAACAAATAAATTACTATTTGCTGTCATTTGCAGCCTTATTGTGGTTGTTCAGACAGCTGTTGATGCATCTGTTTGTTTGTGCTGAAATAAAAAAGGAAGGGTTGTTATTCCAGAAGGGAAATCAGCTTATTTGTGAAGACTGAGGGGCAGATCCTGGAGCAGCTGTTGTTGTATATTGTTCACACCAATATTTCTCTCTTTGAGTTTTTTTTTTTCTCCGTTTGTATGTTTGAGTGTGGAGTTGATCCTCTTAAAAAGCTCCTCCCACTTTGGTATCACAAACTCCTGTCAGCTTTAAACCAACCACATCTTTATTCTAGTCTGAATCACTTCTTTGTGTGTTATCAGGACTTTTGTTATAGATTTCAGGTCTAATTCTGTAAATGTCCACATGTAAGTCAACATCTTTGCTGCAGGATCCCACCTGCGCTATAATATTATACACAGATGGCAACAAAATGATTCTTTCATCTTGCATGTGTTTAAATGGCTCAAAATGCTTAAAAAGTCTGTAAAAAGTCAAATGTGTGCTGTAGTTTAGCTACAATGATCTTACTGCATATTTGAATCACACATTTGAAAAAGAGCTGTTGACCCAGCAGCAAGTCCGCATATTTTATAACTCATCTAAATGCATTCTGCTTAAAATAAAAAATACATGTCTTTGTTCGAATTTGTGTGCAGATTTGGGTTTTTAAACTGGGGGGTGTAATAGCTGAGGAGATCAAGGTCAAAGCACCCATCACTGTCCGCTGCTGTAGAGGAATGTGATGAAGGGAGACTGGAGAATAAATGGAAAAATGTAGCGATAGATTAACAAAGCCAGGATGTATTTAGTCACAATCTCCAACATTGTTTTCTGTAGAAAGATGACAAAACTGTTTGTGTGGAGGACACTCTGCTTTGTGACTCAAAAAGTTATTGTAGCCATTGAAATAGGTAGTTTTTGTGTTGAAGTTTACCTGTTGAAGATGGCTTCCCGAACAGCCTCTGTTTGAAAAAATAACGTTTACCAGCCTGATGAGCTAACGGCTAGTCAGAACCCTTTAATTCAGTTCAAGTTTATTCATATAGCGCCAAATCACGACAAGAGTCGTCTCAAGGCACTTCACATAATAAACATTCTGAATGAACAGGTCAGTTCATTAGGCCAATCAGTAAAAAGTTTCCTATATAAGGAACCCAGCAAATTGCATCAAGTCACTGACTAGTGTAAGTATAAGCAGCCATCCGCCACAACTCACTGGGGATCGAGAAGACAGAGCAGACACACGCACACACACACACACTCACACACACACACACACACACACACACACACACACACACACACACACACACACACACACACACACACACACACACACATGTAAGGGGTTAATTTACATCTATTTAACGAACCATAAGACGTAGGATTCCATAGTACATATGGAATCAATCTTACGGATCTTTGGGTACTTTTAACCAAAGATTGGAACTTTTTATTGCACTGATTATGTAACACTTCATATTAAATGAGAGACAACAGAAGAGAGAGTCACCTTTAAAATGTAAGAAGATTTATTTCTAAAAATTTTTAAACAAGACTTACTCTAAATTCAAAGTGAATGGATGGATCTTGGCATGAATGAGACGTGAGATGAATGGTGTATGCGTGAGTGATGTTTGTCATCAGAACTCTCGTATCCGGAGAAGCAAGTCTGAATGATGTTATGATGTTTTGCTCTTAATCTATGATCGTAGTTTCATAAACACATAAGACGCCATGTTGTCACTCCACACATACCCTTCGTACAGATCCAGACTGCCAGGTCCTCGGACCCCCCTTCGGTACCGGAGCAGATGAAACAGTGTCAGCAGTACTGTCTCCAGGTAAAAGCGACATTTGGTTGACAGTGTCAGATGGACCCAGAGGGTCAGTGAGTTCAGCTTTTATTCTGAAAGGAACCGTTGCTTGGTTGGTAAAATGCAACAGATTTTATCCAGCTTGTTGGTTCTTTGCTTAAAAAGGAAGTCCGGGTGGCCGGTCCGATACTTCTTTTAGCATGCGGTGAACTGCAGTGAACTGTAGAGAACTCAGAGAACTGAACTAAGATGGCGTGGGGACAAGTTTTATTAATTTGGATGTTTTGATTCATGGTCGAATCAAAGTTGGCAGATTTATAAACACCACAGAGACTCTGCCACGCTTCAGAAAGGAAGGTTCTGATTGGATGAGTAAAAGCAATGTGTCATGTGTTTACATTACGTGTGATCAGGATGTCTAGTGCAGCTAGATTAAAGTCATATTACTTATTAAAGCTTACTAATCATAACATTGTCATTTCACGGATTGGTCAACATCTTATTATTGACCAACACTTTGTTTCATTAGCTCTATTAAAAATAGAGTTCGTTGATTTATTAAAAAGAAAGAGTCCTTTGTCTTCATTCCTCTCTTGGGCTGGAAAGGAAGATAGTTTAGAAGCAAATGCATGACCTTGATTGAGGCAGTCTCATGCAGATTAGTTCTGTGTCAGAGGCATATGAGGAGAGAGGGTAAATAACCTTCGGTGGAATAGCTCCGTCATCACGTTACACACACACACACACACACACAACAAATATACCAATTAGTGTTTCTATGGTTACATTGTGATTTCTTAGTAAATATTCTATTTGATGAGATATAAACTTTATTGTATTTATCCTAGTGAATCTATGATTAAACGGGTAGACTAGTAGTAGCACATTCAATGTCAACACAGCAAAGATCTTCTTGATCACCATGTGTTACACATCTTTTTTCTCTATGTAATTTCACAGCAGTTGAAGCTGAATTATTTTACAAAGCTTGAGGACATTTATCTATCACTACTAGAAGCTAAATGTAGGACTTCTGGAGCCTTCAGGGGTCACATCCTGAAGAAATCATAAAATATTTCTGCCGAAATAACCCTGTAATAAAAAAACTGACAGTAGTGTGAAAGCTATAAAATTATGTTGCATGAGCCACTGACAGTTAGCAAATAACGTTTTAAAATGACATAAATAGTCAACAATCACAATTTTTTTTTGTTGAACAAGGCCTTTATCCAACCGCACCAGGGGTGCCCAATCCTGGTCCTCGAGGGCCGGTATCCAGCTTGTTTTAGTTTTAACTCTCCTTCAACGCACCTAATTTCAATCAGCAGGTGATTAACAGGCTTCTACAGAGCCTGATGAGATGCTGCACAGGTGATTCAACCAGTTAATCAAGTGTGTTGGAGCAGAAAAACCACAAAACCTGCTGGATACCGGCCCTCCAGGACTAGGATTGGGCACCCCTAGAGATTGAAAAATGTATAGCACCTTATGCCATCTATCTACTTTTGTATTTATGGGCGAAAGCAATGCCTCTCGTTCACACACACACACACACACACACACACACACACACACACACACACACACACACACACACACACACACACACACACACCTGTAGCCGGTCAACAGAGAAGAAGCACATTGTTTTAAAATTACTTTTCTCACATGATGCTGTTTACTCGAGAGAGAGAGAGAGAGAGAGAGAGAGAGAGAGAGAGAGAGAGAGAGAGAGAGAGAGAGAGAGAGAGAGATGGATGGATGGATGGATGGATGGATAGATGGATGGATAGAGAGAGAGAGAGAGAGATGTCAATCTTTAAACACTCGTGCACACTCTGTGATTGACGTATGTCTATAAGCAAATAGCTAGCACTATTGGCTAATGCTGAGCTGCATTCATTTTAAATTGCGTGGGACTTTACAGGACGGATGTGCCAGGCAAAAATAAAATCGAATCGACGAATTGTCCTCTATGTATGACATTACAGAGCAAGACTTTTTTAATGGATTTCTAAAAAAACGATGTATAATTCCTGAAGGGGGTAACTCTGGATTGCAGCGTTAAGGAAGTTATCTACAACAGGCAAGTTTGTTATGGTTTATAACATTTACATCCATTTATTAGTCTGAAACAATCCCTAATCTATAATCAATGTTTAATTGCTTCCAGTCTTTAACTAATTTAGGGTCGTATAGAAATCAGATCAAAACTTTTATGCAGAGAGAAAACTAAACAAAAAACAGTAATGACATAGACTGTGATGGAGGAAGCGATAAAAGAGAAATGTGATGGAAACATAGGAGTATTGAAGAACTGGGGTGGGTCTTGTGGGGGTTGGTTGATGTTATCGGAGCGAGGCTGTTTGAGTCTGACTGATCTGTCTCAGGCAGAGGGCTGTGTGTGTGTGTGTGTGTGTGTGTGTGTGTGTGTGTGCGCGCGCGCACACACAGTGTTAATATCTTTTCCACCAACACTAAAAGCTGTCAAACACACATCCTCTCACCTGGTTTCCCCTGGGCTGCATTGAGAGCAGCATTCTCTCTTTTCCCCGTGGTGGCATGACACTCACAGAGGATGGCAGTGTCTCTCTGTTTGCAAGGAGTCTTGTAGAAAAACCTGAACGCATCTGAATATTTCTGCCAGCCGCGTGTAAAGCAGCCTTGTAATGTGGTATTTCAGGTTACACCTATAAATACGATCATGTCTGGACGCTGATGTGGAAGTGAGTCACACAAACATATGTAGGTATTTATTTGTTACCTGGTTTGACAGATTAAAGAGATGTTTGGTTGCTATGGCAACACACAACCTAGATGGTGTTGTGGTAAAAATGTTCACAGACTTGTGCTGCTTTATGTTTAATTGACCCATTGGTCTGTAACTGGAAGTCAACAGAGGAACTGAGTGTCCATTGTTGTTTCACAAAAGCTCTTTCAGACCTACTTTCAGTTTTATCATCTCCTTGATTCCTCTGAGTCCTAATAATTCCTCTGTCTGCATTTTAGCTTGAAGCACACACTTTGTTCTTGGCGTGTCTCATGAGTAGTTGTGTGTCAGGTCAAAGTTCACCCAAACATGCCGGCTGAGAGGCTGGGTGAGGATTTCCGGACCTCTCAGTTTTGTCACCCAGGATCGGCAGGTAAGCCGACAGGTGCAGTTTCAAAACCACGGCAGTGAAGGTGGAGGTGAATATGCGTGTTTGGGCATAATGCAGAACCGAGCTTTGAAGGACTTGTCAGGGTGTGTGCGTTTGTTTGTGTACCACAGAGACTAGTCTCAGTTGCACACAGGCACTTTGGAAAAACTGGGAGGGCAGGATTTATTGTGATCCTGACTGAGTTGTGTGGCCGAGGTTTCCCTTCACTCGTTCTTTGGACTTTGGATTTTTGATACTGAAAGTTTGCAGGTAAGTTTTTCAATATATTCTACAGAAAATGTGATTTGTTTTAGGTGTCTCGCCTTGTTGGATGTTTGTACGTTTTATAAGCCTAAGCATGGAGAATACTTGCTTCCTACCTGCTGTGTCACCAAGTTCCTATTGGTTTAAAAGGCAGCATGACCTGAGGGCCAGGTTGAGGTCTTGGGGTTCCATGGCAACTCTTTGTTTCCATAGGTAACAGCCCATATGCCTCCGTCTCTCACGGCTGTTTGTTTTTCCCAGCAGAGACCAGGACCAGCCTTGGGTCAGAGAGTTCTTCGCTAGCCTGTAATTTAGCTGTCGGTCACGTTGATTCTCTTGATGATAGGTTAAACTTTTCCTCTGACTTTCCCTTCAAGTTGTCTCTGATTAAAGCTACTGGAGTTTCTTGCTGTTGAAAATATATATCTCTCATATAAGCTCTTTCATATATTATTATAAGCTCTTTTATATGATTAAATATGTATCTCTCACTTTTGCCCCTTATATATTATCATAAATACATTATTATATGCCTTTTCATGGAATCTTGTTATAATATCAAAGACCTCTCTGTGCCTTTTCTGCTCAAGCTGAACAGCTGCATAAGGGAGTGAAAGTGTTCCTTCCTTCAGTTCCTCAATACAAGAACAACTGTCTTTGTTAGCAAAGGATGTTGCAGGATGTGTCCTGATCATCTCAAGGTTGCATGTCCTTGGGATGAATTGGTCTTTCATTAACAAGGCTATTAGCTGACGTGCGTCTGCAGGTGCAGATGGCAGAATTACGTGTGTGTATGGCAAACTACGTATGTAACATTCCTGTAATCTTCAATAAAAATCAGCCGTTTTCAGCAGAACGGCGAGAGTCTGTCCGAAGCATCTGGCAAGAGCAGGTCGCGGGACTTGCTGCAGAGACTCTCCCCCTCATGAGCGGCGAAACAGTGAATGGACTTCTGATCATTTGTCTCCTCGTTCTGACAACTTTAAAGGTGTTTAACTCCATCTACTCCGTACCCGTGCTTGGTCTAACGGAAGAAAGACCAACAAATTTGGCGTCACGAACAGGATTTTTTCTTTTTGAAGAAAAAGGAGTTTTTGGAGAACGATTCGACCCACTGACCCAGCGAACGATCTTGGCACAGAACACCGCGGTGGAAAACAAGGTGAGCAGAGCCTATTATCTAAAATCTGCTCATTGGATTTATCCAAAGCCTTTGTGTCCAGAATCATAGTAGCTGAGGTCCTAAAATAATAGTTGGAGAAGAAAGTGGAGACAAGTGCAGGAGAATAAGAGATTTTTTTGTAATGGTTTAGTGGTGAAATGAAATGAGGATTTTTTCTAATGGTTTAATGAGTAAATGAGAAAAGGAAATAGTACAGATGAAGGGATGGTGACCCAGGGCTAATAGAGTAGCCCTAAAGTTCCATTTCCAGGTCGTGGCTGACCACACTATTTGCTGACGAGCGGATAGAATATATAACATGGTTATATAAAGCTTGGCTGGATCCATAGGTGTGGGAACCCTAAAAGTCCACAGGTCAAGGACCTGGTTTTTTTGTGTTAAGGGAAGGGGAGGCTAAAAGAGAGCTCCCTGGATTTTAAGGTCAAGGACCTGGTTTTTTGTGTTAAGGGAAGGGGAGGCTAAAAGAGAGCTCCCTGGATTTTTAAGGTCAAGGGCCTTTTGCATGAGATGAGAAAAATGTTCTGAGGTAACTGTTTTTGCATAAGATGATAAATGTTTTGACTGCTTCTGTGTGAAGAGAGCAGTGCTTTTGGCTATTTCTGCGTGCTTTTGGCTGTTTTTGCATAAAATGAGCAATGTTTAAATATGACAAGCAGCCCAGTTGAAGCCACGAGAAATAAGGTTTTATTGAGAAAGTCAGCGGAAGAGGCGATGAAGAAAAAAGGGGTAGATGTTAACAGTAGAGGTAACTGGAGCAAGATTTGGGAAGTGAAGGCTGCAGAATCAAGAGGAAAAAGGCACAGCTGTAGACAAGCTTCACTGTGTGTGTAAGCTGAGTTCAGCCTGTGTGTGTGAGGCGCAGCAAGAGGCTGCTTACGGCTCTGGATTGAAAGTGCAGCACTAGGAGAGTGCAGAATGCAGAGCAGAGTTTTGGGAGCTCCGTGTGTGTGTGTGTGTGTACAGCGCTGGATGGTGTGTGTGAAGGCCTGATGCGGTACCAGAAAATAAATAAATAAGATAAATAAGAGCTTTAAAAAGTTGCAACTCGTATATGTAAATTACACTGCAGTGCTAAAATTAATGTTTGGAGCTACGCAAAATTCAAATTCTGCAACCCTGTTCTGATCAGTCTTTGAACAGAACACCATAAGTTAATAAATAAAAGGTTTTTAAAGTAACATATGTGTATGTATGTGTGTATGTATGTATATGTGTATACATATATATACATATGTAGTGTACAAGCGTGATAATCATTTGTGTGCGGGGCAGCATGTGAGTGACCCCGATCTGGGGGTTAAGTGACCTGGAGATGAAAAAAGGGAAAAAACCACCAAGAAACGCAAGTAAGGATGTAAATGACAGCTTTATTTTAGAAATATAGTCATATAGCTGCTAAACAGTAAAATCAAAACAGATCTGCAGAAAATAAATATATAAACTATTCCTCAGAGCGCTCTCAAAGAAATTGCAATTGGATTTGCGCTAATGTTACATAAGGCCTGCTTAAAAGCATAGTACACATTAAATTCTGAAAATAACCAGTGCAGTGTTAAAATAAATTCTGTGCTTAAAATATTATATATATAGAGAGAGAATAAATAAGTGACGAACTGACTTACTTTAAAAAAAAAAAGACTGTGACAAACAAAGAATGTCGTCTGTGCCATGTGAATGAGTGGATGCGTGTCTTCTTGCATGAGCTGCTTTCGCTGGATCTTCTGAATGACTCAGTTTTTAATAGAGGGAGCAGCTGCTTGAGAAACAGGGTGCGGTCCATGTTTTTACTAGACGGTTATTTAGTTCGAGAGACTGTGGAAACAATAGAAAAAGAATTTATCGTTAGTGTGAGGACAAGAAAATCCTTTAAAATACAAAAGTTGTATGGTTGTGGTTATAAAGGAAGTATTTTGTCTGATTATGGGCCGTGGAGTCAGCTGGACTCCCTCGCTCTCACAGTTTTTCTGTGTAACATGCAGTTTTAAGCAATTTGTGACTTTAGAAAGGATATTTTTCGGTGTTTTGGACGTACCTTAAGGCTTCTGGTTAGGGTATTCAGGAGATCCTTCCTCTCGGACAGATCTAGTGAGAATGACTGGAGTTTCAGCCTGGGGACCTGACTCCACCCACTTTTACACACAAGAGTCCCGTGGTCTAAAAATAGCACAGGGTGCTGCGAAAAGCAGCTCTGAACTTCTCAGGATCATCTTTATGAAAACCATAAAATTAACAAATAATCAGTCAGGAAATAAAATATTTGTTAAATCTTGCTATAAAACAAAATCCAATAATTGTCTTGCCTCAACTTTAAGAACCATTAACGTTAATGGCTGGATTTTGGGACGCTGAATAATGAAAAAACAGATAAACTAAGTATTATTTCCTGTAACCTGGCTAGAAACTGTACTAGGCTGTTTTGAGTTAAAAACTGGTAGTTATTTTCCCAAAATAAAATAGATAAATAAAAAATGAAAGGAGGGATCTTGCATTTGGGATAGATTGTGCCTAAAGTTTAAAACCTGTGTAGAACTAATTTGATGATTCAGAAAAAATTGTGCATAGGAAATAGTCTAGATTTACCTTTGAGTCAATAAAGTTGACTAAATATTAGAAACCTTCGTTGATTTTGATTTGTAAAAGAGAAAGTTCTGTCCTTTCAACTCAATCAACATATTTAAGGAAAACGTTTGCTGTGCATTGTGGAGGCATGAACTTTACTGGGTGGGCCTGTCACAACCAGCTGCAAAGAATGTTTGGCTCTGACTTCTATACAAAGAGAACCTGGAAGCCCTCACCAAAAACTGTGACTTATAACATCAAGACGGGGAGCACTACAAGATGGACAAAGAGGCAGAAACTTATTTGCCCTGCTGCTGATGAAACAAAGTACAAAAGGGGGAGCATGTGTGCTAACATGTGAACTTTAATCAATGACGGTGGTCATCCTGGACTTACAAAGAGAGGCTCAAAAGAGACTGTTTCCTATGGTTACACCCAGTAAAAGAGTGCTTGCTGCAGTCAGGTAATGAACAAGGCTTTTTGGCAACAACCAGTTGAATTGATGAAATGTCAGAACTGTGGAAAATTTACTAAACTACTGTAGAACATAGTTAACTGAGAAAGTTAGCCTAAAAAAAGATAATAATAATAATATCAATAAATAAATAAATAATAGGATTAGTAACCTGGATTTCAGCCCAACTCACCATTGGACGTCAATATAATCTTTATTGTCCTAGGATTCTCAGCTGCAGCGGACATGCAGTAAAGCCTTATTTTCTTTTCAAAACGGAATACATCAGCGTCATCACTTATTCTCATTGGTTAAGGAAATGGTGTCTATTTATAAGTCTAGGAGAACGCTTTAGGCTTCAACAGTTCTCTCCTTCGAGCAAACATGCGCAAATTTCCGGATAGTTTATAGTAACGTTCCATCCCATTCCATTCATTGCATAAAAATAAACATTAAATGAATAATTTGGCATCCAGCTGACTAAATGATTCATGGAACATCTCATCCGAGACAACAGTGTTGTTTCAGCTCCGTTGAGTTTCC